GGTATTTACCAGCCAACCAATAGTAGAAAGATTATGAATTAATAACTTCAGCTACAAGCTAATCATGGGTATTTACCCGTCACCCGAAAAATTATGTAAAGTTAGAAAGTAGATTTATGATAATTGCCGTATTATGGTTAAGCCTATGGCAATCTAGCTTGACCTTCAATTCTACGCATCCCTTTAAACCCCCTTTTTTCTTGCGGGGTATTTCCCCCAAAAAAATTCACAGATTTCATGTAAGACAGAAACCTCCCTCATAGAGGAGACCGACAAAACTTACGGACAAATTCGAGGAATTTGAACAGGGTAAGCATTGACATCCAACCATCAGAATGTTATTGTCGTTGAATTCTCCTTATCGCTCTTCACGATAAGGTTTGGTCAGATGTTACTGGAACTGTGAATTCCGAAATTAAAATCAAGAAGACAAGGAACAAAAAAAAAAATCATACTGTCGAATCGTCTGTCCTTTCAGAAAACCGCTCCCGAAAACGATGCGTCCGTTCGGTACAGCGATGCGGTTAAGATATCGAATGCAATGGCCAACTTGCTCGAGAAATGGATTGGATCCTCCAAACGCCGTCGTTTTTAATATCTCGTTTTTCCTTTCGTTTCTGCTGTTTGGTCTGATCCGAATCCTCTGCTACTCTGCTGCGATTTTCGTCGTCTTAAAGCCTCGTGCACTATAAGAAAACAACCACGTTCCAAAACTGAAAACTCCCCCGAAATATATAATAATCACAATGTGCATACCGAAATGCACGCGGAATATGGCGCGGATAGACGTTTTACGCAATGGCAGAAATATTCAATTCTAACGGTTAGCTTATCTTAATCAAAACCTCAGTTAAGCAAGATTGTTAAACTTCGATGTCGCTATGGAACTCATTGATTTACTTCGACTCAAAGAAAACTTCGAATGCAGCATTTTCCACATGTAACAAATTACAAGGAGCTGCTGAACAATTAAAGCATCGAAAATGAAAAATACGTCCGATAGGAAAGATCACCGAGATGATAAATACGCAAACATGATAGCAAGAACTCTAATCCAAATCCGAGAAGGACTCAAGGCGTAGCTTCAGAGTAAGTAGAAGAAGACGAGGAAGCTTTACGAGTGGAAGAAAGCATCAAAGTGACAATCAAAGAGAGATAGAAAGTAAACGTACCGAACGTAGAAATGTGGAAATGAATACCGAGGAATGGACCTAGATGAAACAGTAACACAACAACGGCGACTCAGCACCGGCCAGCGGCCATAAATCGTGAAGAAGAAGGAGAATGTGGGTGACCAGAGAGGCCGCAGATTCCGGGAACTCACGGTGGAGCCGTCGCTGTCAGTGCCAGTCTCACGGAGAGGATAAATTTGAGATGAATCAGTGGCCGGTGGAACCAAATGAGAATCCGAGGATGGAGCGTCAACAAAGTTGAGATTTCTCTTCCAACCGCACCTCCAAGAAAAAAAACTAGAGTTGAGTGAAATGACTAAAATACCCTTCGTATCTTTTTTTTTTTTTTTTTTTGTACAATTATATTTAATAATAGAGTTTCTATTTTCAATAAAAATATATTTCATTTTAAATTTTAATTTATGTATTTAATAAGTATTACACATTCGAATAATTTTAAAATTATAAAGGCATACAATTGAAGCTTATAAATAACTAAATAAAACAAAATAAATATCCTAATAATATATCAAACGTAAAACTAAAATATTAAATAATTAAAAACTTTACAAATCAAATATAACAAAACTTTAAAATTAATTGACCAAATTGGTAATTTAACTTTATTTTTTCTCTTTGTAATTTAAAAGCTGGTAGTATCACGTGATGAAAATAAAAATAAAAATAAAAATAAAAATAAAAAGCTGGATAGAAAAAAATTAAAAAGGAGAGGTGGACATATATGGCGCCACGTGGCAGCGGTGTTCCCTATGTCCCTGCCTGTGACCGTTAGATCTGTGGGGAACCAATTGTTGGAGCGGCAAAGAAAGAGAAGCCTCCCAAAGCTGACAAACGAATAATAAATACTGACAGCAGCTCCCACTTTCTTTTCGTTAAAAATCTGTGTATTTTTTCATTTTTTACCGTCTAAATTAACTTTTACCTATTCAGTCAATTTTAAATTTATTCCGTTAAATTTTGTATAATAAAATACACATTAAACCATAAGTATAGTCTATTTTTAATATTTTATTAAAAGTATAATAACTAAAATATAACCAAATTCAAAATAGATGAATAATTATAAATTTAGTTTCTAACTACTACATGTTGGATGATGAAAGTCCCTCATTGGCTAATTTATGGAATGATCTGCATTTATAATCAAATAATACTCTCTGCATTAGTACGAGGCCTTTTAAGAAAGCCTAAAGCAAAGTCATGAGAGTTTATGCTTAAAATAGACAATATCATACCATTGTGTTTATCTAACCGTAAATATTGTGAGGGTTTATGCTCAAACAAAGTCATCATACCATTATGAAGAGTCGTGTTCATCTAACAGTAAATATGGTCTTCTTTTGTTTGTTATGCAGATATTTTCTTCATTTTCTGTATTCTCTTTTGTTGTACATACCTGAAGTTATCAATAAACCTTGTGTGTTGTGTTAAGTCATCCCAACAACTGGTGCAAATATCCAATATTTCTCCGGTGTTCATCTTGATCGAGTGTATGCTGGTTGAGTTCGTTCTTTTTTAACTTTTTCTAAATTTTCCTTACAGTTTTTAAAATGCATGTTTGCTAGTGAGAGGTTTTCAAACTCCTCCAACCGATGTGAGATCTCACACTAACCTTTTAACTATAACTTAAAAGTGTATATATTAGCTCTTAAACTTTAATACGTATAAAGACGTAAAAAAAAGTTCCATCATATGCACATTTTTAGCTAAGAAATTATATATTTAATATAAATTAGTAATACGAGTACACATGAAATGTCGTGAAGCTCGTGAATTAATCATATAGTTATATATATATATATATATATATATATATATATATATATATATATATATNTATATATATATTATTATTATTATTATTATTATTATTATTATTAGATAGAAAATTGATGGATGCGTGGAGTAATTGATTAAGTTAAAAAAAAAAAAAGATGGGAATGAAGTGGTTGTCCATCATTTGGGGCGTGTCTGGACGTGCAGGTTGTGAACCCCGAACCTTTGTTATTGTTTTCATCGGGTTGGTTGAGTACGAAAATTGCGCTCATCTCAATAATAATATGCTCTAGTAGCTTTGCTTTCGACTTCTCCAAAAGGCTTTATAGACTGGAGAGTATTATTTGTTTATAAACCCATGATCATTCCCTAAATTAGCAGACGTGGAACTTTAATTATCTGACAAAGCTTAATTTAAAATTTCTAATTTCTAATAAGTTTTTAAATATCCCGGTCTCATTTAAGGTATAAGGGTTATTCTACTTGTTTACACCTTTCATTTCAGGGTCTATCCCTCGATGTGGTTAGTATTTCATAGTGTTTGGACAATCCTTCACTTCAGGGCCTATCGCTCAGAGTGATCAATATTTCATAGCTTAACCGTATTCACTGATTATGAGGGTTTTCCCAAGCCTCTTTCCTACTCCCTTTTCTACCCACTTTTAGAGTTTAAAATGTTTTGATCATTGTAGCATGTGTGTAGTTTAGAGCATAAGGGTTGTTTAGTCCAGAGTCAATTTGAACACATTGATTCCGATCGTTTACGTCCTTCACTTCAGGACCTACTCTTCTGTGTAGTCAGTATTTTATTATGTCGAGCAGCTAAGCTTATCCTTATTCACTACTTGAGACGGTTTGCTATAGTCTCTTTCCTCCTTCCTTTCTTCTCACTCTTAGCGTTTGTGCCTCACAAAAGAGGTGGAAGTCGACTTTTATATATATATATATAATCCTTACTTAATAAATTTTATTAAAAAAAATAAAAAATACAATGAGGATCATGAGTTAGTGGCGTGATAGAAGGCACTTGAAAAAGGGACAATAGAATTGGACTTGGAAATGATCAAACCTTTACAAAGAGTTTATAAATGAAAGTCAAAAGGACATTATTATTATTATTATTTTGCCTTTTCAACCATTTTTATATTCACTTATTTATTTATTTATTATTTTTTTCGATAGGAATAAAATGAAATTATATCCGACCTTGAAAATAAAATGACTAATAAATGCTTAAAGAAAATGAAAGTTACTTCATATATCAATAATGTGCACATTTCTTTTTGGTAACTTAATTATACGAGCTCTTTAGCTAAGCGTGTTTATGACCAATTTTATGTTGGACGATTTCCTACGAATTTTTTGGTAGCGGTGGGTGGTAGTGAGTGTCGACAACGGTATTCACCGGTATGGAGTTGGCTAGAAAAGGACAAAAAAAAAAAAAAAAAACTTTATAATTGTTAGAATATTTCTTTGCTTAGCTGCCACGGCAAGTTAAGAGAAAGGTAACAGATCATTTTAATTACGAAAAAAACCATATGTTAGCCCGGGTTAATAATTGGACCAAATTATTTATATAATTTATTTTATTTTTATATTCCCATTTTTAATATTAATTTTATGATTCATTACGAAAAAAACCATATGTTAGCCCGGGTTTTAGGATCAATTAAATTATATAAATGTAAATTTTTCGTAAATTATATTTTACTTTTTTTTTTTATAAAAAAAATATATTTTTATGAAAATTGCAAATATGTATGTTTTATCATTGCCGATTATTATTATCCTTTCACAATTACGGTTGTGCATTCAATTCGATAACCCGAACCAACCCAACCTAAACTATAAAGGTTGGGTTGGGTTGTGTTGAATTAGCTTTTCAAGTTGGTTTGGGTTTATTTTTCTGAACCCGAACTGACTCGATTCAGTTTCAGGTTCATGGGATAAAACCCTCCAATTAACCCGAGTCAAATAAAAATATATAAATATACTAACAAGTTTAGTTATATTATATTATGTTAATATTATCGAATAATAAAAATAAAAAAGTCAAAAATTTTATTAACATTGATAAATTTTAAAATTTTATTAACCTAATATAATAAAAAATGTTAATTATCCCAAATTATTATTTGAGTAAAACAGTTGAATTACTGCTCAAGTTCACTCCTAACAAATATTATCCATCTTACTCTAATATTTATGGCTTATACGGATATAATAAAAGCTCTTCAACATTGAAAAACTTTAAAGATGAGGGCAAAACACGATACGAGATGTATTGGGCTAGCCGTGACCATTTTCGAGCTACTCTTTCAATTGCCACTGCTGACCCGTGTTGACGTTTTATAACAACAATTAAAACTCGACTCACTTTACATTAGCAGACCTGTAGATTAGGTCGAGACTCAATGCTCTTCATTTCTGCTTGAAATAATGCTCGAGAGAGAAAGAAATGCATCAAAGCGATTAAACAACGACTAGAACGAGTCGAATAATAAACTGCAACTACTCTTATAATTAATTAATGAATTAATTGAAATCACTACATACAAAATTTCATTAATTCATTATAATAATTAATTATTTATTTTAGTATAATTAGAATGAAAATCCGGAAAATATTATTTTTTTAAGAAATATATTAGGCCCAATAAGCAAGGCCCAGAAAATATTGGGCTTAACGCAAATCGAGGCCCAATAATATTGCCTTCCACTTTTTCGATCCGATATCTTTTCTTCGACTGACGCAAATCTTCGCTCTCGACCAGCTGTTTTACTGCGCGTCTCGTCCCCGCTGCGGCTTTGTTCGTAATTTTTGCGTCTTCAGCCATTTGAGCTACGGCAATATCAGCCACAAGCACGTAGCCATTGATATTNAAAATGTTAATTATCCCAAATTATTATTTGAGTAAAACAGTTGAATTACTGCTCAAGTTCACTCCTAAACAAATATTATCCATCTTACTCTAATATTTATGGCTTATACGGATATAATAAAAGCTCTTCAACATTGAAAAACTTTAAAGATGAGGGCAAAACACGATACGAGATGTATTGGGCTAGCCGTGACCATTTTAATAAACTGCAACTACTCTTATAATTAATTAATGAATTAATTGAAATCACTACATACAAAATTTCATTAATTCATTATAATAATTAATTATTTATTTTAGTATAATTAGAATGAAAATCCGGAAAATATTATTTTTTAAAGAAATATATTAGGCCCAATGAGCAAGGCCCAGAAAATATTGGGCTTAACGCAAATCGAGGCCCAATAATATTGCCTTCCACTTTTTCGATCCGATATCTTTTCTTCGACTGATACTTGCAAAATCTTCGCTCTCGACCAGCTGTTTTACTGCGCGTCTCGTCCCCGCTGCGGCTTTGTTCGTAATTTTTGCGTCTTCAGCCATTTGAGCTACGGCAATATCAGCCACAAGCACGTAGCCATTGATATTAGGTTCGTTTCTCTTTC